AAGTGGAGACCACTAATAATTGCCCTCTCATCCTCAGCGATCTTAGCATAAGTGATCCATTGGTGTTGCTAATGGAGCCACTGAGAAGTATCGCCACCTTTAAAAAGCTGAGTATTGAGGATAATGATGAGCTGGTTTCATTTCGGAGCAGTTGTTTCTTAATGTTAGGTCTCAGTTTCTGATATGGAATTTTCATCTCTCAATTCCTTACAGTCTCTCCCTTCCTCCTTGGAAAGCTTATCTTCACTTCAGACTAGATATTTATGGTTTTCATATGCTTCGGGAATTACCGAACCTTCCTCCCTCTTTAGGATATCTATATATTTGGGGATGTTATCCAGAGTTATTTGAGGCTATCGAGAGGAAGGAGGCTCCGATCGGCACAAGATTGCTCACATTCCATATATCCCAATTTATCCCTGGTAATAGTTAGGTCCAACTACTTTAATGAAAATTTCAAAATATATAAGCAAACTACTTTTTTCTTATCTTATTTGTTTGATATATATGAAATGTGAAGAATGCAATCTCAGCATGAAAATTTCAAAATACATAAGCAAACTACTTTAATGAAAATTTCAAAATACATAAGCAAACTACTATTATATTGCACATTACGCAAAAGAACATTCCAAAAGTAAAAAAGGTATTAACAAGAAGAATACGAAAAAGATAGCTTATATTATAGTGGAAGTCATGAAATAAGACAACTGCCAAAGCTTCCTACTAATAGCTGCGCATGAAAACCTTTGGCAATTGAGGCTGCGGTTGCCTGAGAAGCTCCAGACCATCCAAGCATGCCACATCTTTACCCAAGAAAACATAAAGATATTCCATGTCAACATCACGAATTCTTACACCATAGGCAAATTCGGACTGCTCCATCGGACAGCCCATAAGTTAAATTAGATAATTACTTTATGCTAAATATTATTAAGTTAACATAGAGAAGCCAAGGGCCGAGAAGATAGTGAAATTCATGAAATAATAAAGAGTAGCAGCTTTCTAGTAATGGTTGTAAATGAATCTCCATTTTAATGGCAGGTATGGTTGCCTAGAAGCTCAAGAAGCCCAGACCATCAAATCATGCCACATCATTATAATAGAAAATATACATATTCCATAGAAACCATAACAACCAATGACTAAATTCTAAATCATCATCATCATGTTCACAAATATTTAATTTGCATCTTAGGTGTATGGCATTAATGTTAATAATTTTAAAATGATTATAATCTCCTCAATGGATTTCGTGGAGTAGATAAATAATAAATCAGTAAATAATAAATGTTTTCCCTCGTAATGCAATGTTATTTTCTACCTTTTAATAATGATACATTACAATATTACACCGATTCAAGCATCATCTCTACACAAAGAGCCACCATACAGATCATATGGACAAAAATTCAACAGGAAATTCCATAAAAAAAGGTTGATGGATCACCTGATCATGTTCACATATAAGTTCCAACATTTTAATCAGAAACAGCTGGCTGTGATGGAAACTCTCCCTTTCGCGCACTTCTTTGGCAAAATCCCATAAATCCGCCGAAATGAGGGATTTAGTAAATCCAGGATTTAAGCCGTAAATCCTTAAATCCGGGATTTTACCCATCCCCGGGATTTAAGGTGTGCACAAAAACCCTTTGGCAAGATTAAGCATAAATCCAACTTAAAATCCGATGCCAAACAGCCCATAACAATTTGCAGCATAAAGTTTTGGGCGTTACCATGAGAGCTTCCACTGTCAACATCATCCTCCTCAAACACCATTAAAACCTAAAAAAATAATAACAAATCCTTTATGTAGAGAATGATGGATCACCGTAACATAGGAGGTTTAGGATTAAGCATAAATCCATTTAACCCAATTTCAACAACTATGGTCATGAGAAACGCTACCACACATTATCAAAGATATCATGAAGAAGATGATCATAGAAATGATAATGTTATTTTCACTTATTTTATGCATGAAATTAAAACCATTTCATCAGTGTTACTTTAGTAGAAGCATATTTTCCAACTTCAAGCAACCAAATGATCCTTGTAAAGAATTCCTTATATGAATGCAGATGCAAATGGTACTTCATTTGACATGCAGATGCAAAGCATTTCTATGCAGAATTGATACCATCAGGACGTACTTGCAATTTGTAAATAGCCAGATAAATGGCACTTGGGTAAGTAAATGGCACTTAATTTCTATATAAGATTTACTTAACTATCAAATAATTCTCCATATTAACAAGTTAAAACATTAAACTGTTAATACTTGAATAACAACTTATGTTTTTTTAAATGTTCAAATGTCCTCAACGAAAAAACAGCCAAATTGGAGGATCAGGAAAACTTAGCCATGGAAAATAATTATTTTGTTTTAACTATTTGGGCGATCAAGTCATTAATAAGAGTACACGTTTTAGATATCTTTAATCTATTGTTCAGAGTGATGGTGAAATAGAAGGGGATATTATCAGCAGAATTCAAGTCGGATGGTTGAAGTGGAGGAATGCATCGGTCTTGTTATGTGATAGAAATGTACCCCTCAAACTTAAGGGAAAAGTCTATAAGATGGTAGTGAGGCCTGCAATGCTTTATGGTGCCAAATGTTGGCCATTAAAAGAGAAGCATAATACTAAGTTAAGTGTAGCAGAGATGAGAATGCTCAGGTGGATGAGCGGCTTTACCCTTAAAGATAGGATACAAAATGAGCATATACGTGAAAAGGTTGGAGTAGCTCCAGTAGAAGATAAGATTAGAGAGAGTCGCCTTAGATGGTTTGGTCACATAAAATGACAGCCTTCCGATGACCCGATTAGGAGAGTAGAGGTATTAAATTTAACTTATGTTAAGAAAGATAGGGGTAGACCTAAAAAGACTTGGTTAGAAAATATTAGGAATGACCTTTCTTTATTAGATTTACACGAGAATTTCACTTTTAATAGGACACAATGGAGAAAAAGGATTCATGTAGCCAACCCCACGTAGTGGGATAAAGACTTGATGTTGTAGTAGTAGTAGTAGTTGTTGTTGTATTTCCTCCCGTCCTCTCGGGTAGATCTAAATATAAGATAAAATAGCTGCATCATTTTAAATGTTTTTAAAGCCATCCTTGACGCCTCATCTTTTGAAAGACTGAGAATAGGAAGGGTTGGCCAACGAAGCTCCAACCACAGACAAATCAATAACAATGCAAATAGTCAGAACATGTCTAGACACCCAAAGCCTCACCATTAAGATTGATGGGTAGACATGAATTATGCCAAAAGAATGTCAAATATTAACCATAGAAAAATAAACCTGCAATCTGCCATTTTAAGTCCTCTGTCATATTGCACAGTACCTCATTAAAATGGCCAACAGATACCGGGCCCATAAGCTTTATCTAAAGTTGGAAACTTTAATACAACAGTCCACTTAAAATTCATTATTTGTTTTGCAAACCTAGGTAAAGATGAGTCTATATTCTAGAGGGAAAGCACATTTCCCCATCATGCAGATACATTAAGGCATGGGAACAGTGCAATCAAATTTTCCAATGAATATTAAACGAAAGAAATATTAAACTAATTTGGATCCCTATCTTGAAATCTAAATAATGAACTGAAACATGAATGCAAATGAATAGCGAAAACAAAACTACTTGAACAAGAAACTTATCATGGTATCTTCCACAAACAGTCAAGGACAAAGAGCTCTCTCGTAATTCCATCACAATAAACTTATATCTATATCCCGTGGCCCTCCTAACTCCAACATATTATACTTATCCCGTGAGCCCCCTAATTCCTACACATTATTTGTTTTCATGTGTTGATGTGACACCTCTCTAATTAAAGGCTGCAAATTTAGGAGAGCTGGATCACCTCTCTAATTAAAGATCCAACTATACCTTGTGTTTTCCTTCTTAGTTCTTTCAATAAAAAAAGAATTTTTGAATGTTATTCCAAAAAAATTTTTAGCCATTCTCTGATTTTGCTGAAATTGCATCCATTTCCTTACCATTGTTACGAAACCATGGAGAAGCTTCGTGCAATTAGATCATTTAATTTACATACTTCTCGCAAAAAATTAAAAGAGTGGCATGTAAGCTTTTTGAAAATAAAGTCCAAATAAAGCATTTTCCAAGTGAAGACTTCCTCTTGTCGGGCAGAGCAAGCTTATCAACTCAGCTCAAACCATGGGCCAGACAAAAATATATCTAAGCTAATTCAACCTCTAAAAAGAGCTTCAACTAAAGCATGAGGTAACCTGAGTAAAAAAACACTTTGTGTACTGCCCAACTGACCAGAAATATCGAGCCGCTCGATTCGATTATAAGAATGTCACATTTGGAAACAGTTTGGTAATCCAAATTGTGATTTGAACCTTCCAACAGTGCTTCGGGTCCTTGAATTGGACCCATTTTGGCTCAGATTGTGCCGAAATTGATGTCGTTGGGTTCATATCTCCAAGACGTTCAGTTTGACTATAAGTTTGCTGAAATCGGAGTTCGTATGGTCCCAAATTTAATTTCGGAACTTTCCAACTTGATTTTGCCTCAATATTCATGCCCGATAAAGATAATTTTTTGATAATGTAACAAGACAACTATCTATTTCAGAAGAACATCAGCTCTTATCACAACAAACAATTGGACTCGTATCCATTTTATAAGAACAGTAACTCTTATCCCCACACGTCTTATACTATTCACCCAATTTTTGAAGTGTTTGAGATTTACAACTCATTGTCCCTTCCAAGTTGCCAGCATAATTTTTTTTTTATTTGAAATCCACTGCAAACCTCAATCATAAAAAATAGAAGTTGAAAGATACAATACATGAAAGGATAAGAACCCATGCTCTTTTAAAACAACGAGAATAAAAATGTTCGCAAACTAACCACTCATAATTGATGATTCAAACTGAACACAAACAAAAAACTCAACTGAATAACTCGAAAAGCCATATTTGCTTACCCAAAAATCCCTTCCGCTACAAGTATACATCTGCAACTGCCTAATAACGAATATTAATGGAAATTCAAAGAAAGCGAAGCTTATTGCATTGCAAATTGTGCAGGAGGAAATGGCATCGAAGTTGAAATTGAAATATTAATAGAACTTAAACGAAAATAGACTTGCCCATTTCTTTTTTTTGCCTGAAGGAATAACCAAAAATTTGAAGAATATACCAAACATAACAATGTACACGCTTCAATATTAAGTAGAAAATCATAAAGAGAAAAATGCACAAGTTCTAATTTACTTGGTCAAACCAATTCCATATCAACATGATAGGAAGTACTTGAGTTCTCAAGTAACCACAAGGGGAATACTTGAGTTCGCAAGCAATCCTACCAATAATCGGTAAAAACAGTGGGCAAAAGGGCTGATTTCAATGAAAAATCAGCCAAATCAATGCGAGAACGTTTGTAGAATGAAGAACAAACACCAAGGAAAATCCTTTAATTCAAATAACAAACAAGAACACAAAGCAAGATACAATTTCCCTCAATTCGATAGGAAGGAAAACTCTCCACAATCTCTAGCAAAGCGTATAGCCCAAAACAAACCCTTGATCTCCATTGTGTCATGTTAAAAGTCAAACTCTCGCTTAAATTTAATAAGCAAAGATCATTTCTAATATTCTCTAACCAAGTCCTTTTAGGTCTACCACTACCTTTCTTAACATAAGTCAAATTTAGTGATTGCAATGCATTCAACAATATTTAATCATTCATCATATCCTAACAAAATTTACATCATTGAATGCATGCAGTCAGAACTTGAGATGAAAGGCCTCCACACATAGAAACACAATACATTTTAAAAAATTTGGGAGCATGAATACTCAAGAGTAACAGATAAACTTTGGTTCGACAAATTATTTTGCTTAAAAACTTATAGTAGCAACTGCAGATGTTTAGAAGCTCTAGGTCCTCTCTAAGTTGTCATACCATCACCAAAAGAAACCAAGTTTTACCAAGGCAACTTAATGATGATTAACATCCACCATCAACCTGGCTCTTCATGTTGTGTACATCACTAATCTTTATGTAAGCACACATATAGTACCTTGTTGATTTTCACTGTAAAGTTGAAGCAAATGATAGGATTTCTATCCATAGCTCCTTTGACTTCAAGATAGAGATTAAAAATCTTCTTTTCCAAGAAAAACATAAAATGAAGAAAATTGGCCCTTGAATTTCACCATAATCCCTCACAAATCATATCACATTTCTCATTGTAACACCTAACAAGCGTTTTTTCCACTAGACTATTCGATAAAATAAATCGACATTTGTATAATCTTGCTTTTATATATATATATATATAAAGAGAGAGAGAGAGAGAGAGAGAGAGAGAGATGGTATCCCAAGTAAATTTGTCTCAAAACAGAAATCAGCAATTTTTTCCATGGTTTTTGCACAGCATTTCATGCGATACAGGCTCAAGAAACTTTTGAAATTTATCAAAGATAAAGACACAAAGCTTTCTCCCAACCCTCTCAAGTCAAGCCCTACGAGGATTTTCAAGCCCTCCTTGATGCCTTATCCATGCCAGATTATCATGCAATAGATCATGCTTTGTCAAAAAAGAAAAAAAAAAAGAGCTTTGATTATTCATATTTGGTAATCTACGATAACAAAACTTTGCGTATCATCTCTCTGTCATCCAACGACTACGGTTCTTTCGACCTCTATCATCCACCGATTATGATCCCTCCAACTTTGGTCAATGCCTAATACTGTCTTTTCGACCTCCGGTGCTTAATTATGTTCTTACCAACCAAATGAACAAGTCAACAATCTTTTGAGAACAATTCTCACATCACTGGATGCTCCAAACTCCAATCATGTAATTCACTCTATATGATGTATATTTGCGACATTGAGCCAACGCCTTCCCCCGAGGAAGGAAATCATTCGTAATCAGCGACAAACACTAGTGGAATCATTTTAATTGGCAAGGCCCTTATTTTTCACCTTTCAGAGGTTACCACATAAAAAATTCGAGAACTTTGCATCTCTCTGTTATTTGTACGCATGTTGGCTCTTCTTACAAAAAAGGACATTAAAAAGCATATAATAAAGTTCCAAAAGAAGTGCGCAAGAAGGCAAAATATAAATCCTCCGTTTCCCTCTTGTTGCCGTAAATCCCGGATTTACAAAATCCTGTACTTCGGCGGATTTACGTGATTTGGCCGAAGAAGCGCTCGAAAGGGAGAAAGTTACCATCACAGCCAGCGAGCTACAGTCCTTACTTCAGATCAAAATGTCGTAACTTCCGATCCAACAGGAAAAGGGAACGTTGTCGACGGAGCGAAGTCTTCCGTCGAACAACAACAAAAGGAGATGGAGTAAGCCACTCGTGCAACGTTAAACCTCCTGCGAGGCAAGGAAGCCAAACAGCAAGGACGAAAAAAAGAAGATGAAAGCAAACCCTAGACGTCTCTCAGGTTTACGAGAAGACCGCGCAAAAAGAGACACATTGT